TATTAAATGATCTTTATACACACATCGATATACGCGTAGTACGCCTATAGATTTTGACAAATCGACTTTCCTTTAAAACGCCTTCGACCCGATTCGTTTATGATGGAGCTATTATTTATTTTTTTAAGTACATTTATAATATTATGTATTATATAATAATACTTGGAGTAGTATGCATCCAATATAATAATGGCGTATAAGGCGCGAGCACTCCCGTCGTTATTCGTCGAATACCGGAATCGTATATGAGAAAAAAAAGGATTATTTCTCCACGCGCCCCCTCCTCGCGAGACTAAACCGGAACTTAAAATGTACTGTGCTGCCGCCATCACTCTCATCGCTGTTGTCACGGAGAGAAGAGAAAAATAGTTGATGATAAAACGATAAGTTTTTAAGAATAGAAGAGCACAACTATTATGCTTATGAAAATATCAAATACATAATAAACAATGCATTGTCAGCACTCTCCAATTTATTGTTTCTATCGAATATGATATAATAATAATAATATAAGTAACGGAAATCCCATAATAATGACAAATGTTCCCTAATGATGGTTCGCAATTGCTACACATGTAGTATTTAAATGTACTTTTTAGTTCATTAGTGTCATTATAATACAAAATTATATATACTTAATATACTTATTATATAGTAAATATAATTATATGCAATTTTGATAGTTTTCATAGCAAATATGTGTCACACAATGACAGCCATGATCTAAATTTTACGGAAAAATGCATATATACACATATCTGATGCAGAATGCATACCCACATATTATTATAAAAATACATAATTTGTTTTGAAAAATTAACATACGAAAACAGTTATTTTTTTTTTACGTTTCTGATTTCATTTGTACCTATTTCTTATTTTTTTCTTTTCCCGGAGACAAAGGTCCGAAATTATTAGTTAATAGATTTGTAATACTACGCCACTATGGTGGTAGTAAATAAAACATTTTAACCAAAACAATTGTACACCACTGTAAAGCGATAAGGGTGGCTGCAATGATAAGAAGGCTCACCTTAAGTCTCACAAAAATAATATCTAAAACATATGTCCAAATAAAACTATCGTTAACTTCCCATTAATAATTTCGTTATTTATTTAATTTAAATGTATTAACGTCAATTGGCTTCTACAAGATAGAGGACAACAAGAAAACGTAACATTAGTACATTACATAACACAACATAATATATAAACTAGATTAATATTAAAGGAATTTATAAGAATGATATAAATGTAATAACAAAATATAAATATATAAATATCCAAGGTACGAACGGTCAGAAAGTATTTATTTTGAATTGTATATTATGCACATCATTCTCAGGAGAGGTGCATTAGTGGCAAAGTTAAACCTACTTGTTGGTATGTTAAGTTCCCTGGGATCGAGTGCTGCTGGGAAACGGGATTGTGAGTCTCTCTAACAAGCGAGTTGCATTTATTTGTTCATTTAATAATCGCGTTATAAAGCGATAACCACGAGTTCGAACTTTGAAGTCTAGACGCAAGTGAATTGAGACACAGAAAACCGTTTATAGATTGATAATCGTGGGGTTATTGAAATTTATTTTAACAGCAGCCAGCATAATATTCAGAAACCTGTTCTGCACTTCATCAACGTTTATGGTGTATGGAGCTCAGACAATAGCTCCATACCTATTCTAATACCGAACGTACTAATGCGAAATAAAGCACGGAGGGTTATTTAGAAGAATTGAAACTCACGGAATGTCGTCTAATAAACCCAAGAGCACGAACGGATTTACTTACAATATAATCAATGTGTGGACGGAAGTCTAAAGATGGGACAAAGAGAAACCCTAAATCAATAATTTGGTCAACACGATCAAGATGCAAACCATTAAGAGAGTAGTCAAACTTTATAAAATCTCAAGTCCGATAAAATAACATAGTTTTACATTTTCCAATATTCAGAGAAAGCCCAACAATCTCACGCCAAGATTAAAATTTGTTCAAAATACTTTGAAGTATTTTAGTCTTCTGTGGATGACACTGCATGAAATATCTTAGCATCATCGGCAAATAGCATAATCCGTGCTGCAGAGATTACTAAACGACTGAGTTAATAAAAACATATCGAGCAATTGAAGAGCAACGAGAACCTCTTCAAGGGTAATGGACAATGAAGATGGGAGAAACGAAAATTGCTCTGGAATAATCAGATTCAACTTTGTTGAAGGTATCACTTGTGGCTTAACATAAACTGAGGAAAAATACGAGGCAAATAAATCTGAAATACATGTTCGAATTTCTCGAAACTGTGACGATTAAGATGTGGTGAGTTATTCGTTGTAAATCCTTCAAGTATAATTGGTCTAAATGTGCAACATGACTCGGTTGGATCTCAAATGAACATTTATTGCTCCAGTGCACTACATATATTGAGACAATACTCTATGTTCGCAGTGAATTTATTTTTATAATTTTACATCAACATACCATATTCTTAAACGTACCTATGTGTTCCAAAAAAAAAAAAATAAAAAATAGTATTGTAAAAGAAAAATGTGTACTGAGAAACTATAATCATATTATGTGTGGACTAAATGTTTAAGTAGGTACTATAAAGAAAAATTAACATTAAAAAATGTTCAAAACAGATTTTATATTCAGAAACRAGTCATTGTCGTAACATAAAAATTCGGTTGGTTCCAAAAGTATTACAATAATAGTTTTTATTAAATTTTTAGAAATCTAATATTATTTTTATTGCTCATTCAACATAATAATAATATATAATATGTATATACGTTTTTAATGACATAATTTACTATGCCGTACGGTTTTGTTTGATTTTCAAAGCCGGGTCCCGAATTATTCAAAACTGTTTTATAGACTCGTCGTTTATAGTTAGTAAATTTTCGTATTGCATATTAAAATATCTATTCACAATGAAACACGTTTCGAGAAATCGATATTTCATTGCGTGTTGTTTTTTTTATTTGGCTATAAAAGTGTAATCATTTTTATTTTATATAATATAATATAATACACTATTATTTAGCGCCTCCACCGCGGCCAACGTGTTTATAATGACACGGTCGCAGTGTTCTTAACATTGAATCGTCCGTATTTTGTTACTTCTCTCCCTATTTTCGGGTTTATGGTAAACATAATAATTCAGACCGTATAAAAGAAAACCATACCGACATTTAAAATGTAAAGCAGTATGTCGTTTAATATTTATTATTTACGTGTATACTTTACAGAACATCTATTCCGTATAATATTATAGGTTATAGCCGACAAAATTACAAAATAATTGATATCGAAAAGCCGATTTCCCGTAACGAAAAACGTATAAACACTATAAACATACATGTCTCATGTTTGACATTCAGGCATAGTATAGTAATTTCCACATTGGCATATAATAATATGTCAAAATGATGTAAATTTGTTACTATGATCTTCATCAAATCAAATAGAATATATATATATATATATATATATATATATATGCTAAATATTTGAGCAGTACAAACTATAAATAGATACACCAATTTCCTTAAATTATGTTATTTATTAGTGTAATAGTGTTTAAATGATCAACGATGTTGAAATTTCAGTCAGTATCCATATGGTTTATATATGATATAACTATTGAATCGTTGATTTTTAGTATCCATAAAAATTGAATTAGAAGTAAACAAAATTGTACTTTTTTAACTCAATTAAAAAAAAAAAACAATAAAATATCCTCTGATAACTGAAGAACATTTGTAATGCCCTACCTACATAATATGTTACGAAATTTGATCGTTAGTCAAATAAAATAATTAACCATTTTAGACATAAATAGAAATACTCTCAAACTCTTATCGTAATTTTATTAATGTAGGTACGCAATTATAGTTATCGATTCTATAATAATATAGTCACTTTAAAAAGATTTACCAATAACAACGTTCGTTAATTTAATGTACTATACGATAAAGGTGTGTATACTAATTTAAAATTACATATATTATTATGTGCCTACCATTTATATATCCATACGCAAAATTTTCGAAATTACATAAGCAGTGATGGTCAATAATATTGTGTCTTTCACGATTTACATTTTTTTTTTTTTTTAATTTAAGATTTTAAAAATCGAATCGGTATGCGCTTAATTAAGCTTTGTCTACTGAGTTTTGAGGACAATAATATTTTAAATTATACTGCTGATTGTTAAATCGTATATAATATACGAATTTACGGACCTGCGGCTTAATTAAAGAATTTATTTATATCGGACATTGTTGAAATTTTGTACAATTTGTCCACAAACGCGTAATCGTTATATAACTGCCGATCTATTCAGTTTCAATTACAATCAATGATTATGGTTCAGTTGTGAAATATATACATGACGTATACAATATTAAATACGGTATAATGTCCTTTTTTCTTTACAGATACTAAAACTCTATTGTTTCTCGTTATTCAGTGAGGAGAACAGAAAAGAAACATTTTTCAGGGAGAATAATTTTTTGCTTTCTATATTTTAGATTTGTAATAGGTGGAGGTGTATATCAAAATATATTATTTTATTAGCTTAGATTAGAATCAAATTCGAAACTTCCACTATTTTGACGGTATCGATCCGAATATTATTATACAGTATTATAAGAACAGCCCGAGTAAAATGTACTCATCATATAGGTAATACGCAATTCCTAAACATGCGGAAAATTCTGAAAGTTTTCAACGTGCATACCTATATCTACATACCAGTACGGCAAAATAGAGACGTATAATTTATTTTACCACGTTATTTTCCATGAATTATATTGTCATTTCGAAAAAATGTATGCCCAAACCGTTTTTTGTTCTTATGTTTATTTTATACGAAATACGAATGTGCGACTTTAATCCTGATAAATCACTATAATACGTATAAAGTTACGAAAAATCACAATAATAACCAACCAGTATAATATTAAAAATAATAAACTTAGATAAAACTTTTTTCTTACCTTGTTCTTGCATAAAACTGAACAGCGAGTCTAAAAAGGTCCGTCTGTCGGATTCATTGCCGGCCGAGTATAACTAAAAAATAAAAATAAAAAATTACCTCAAAAGTCATATTATTAGATATGTATATTACTTTATGATTACTTTTAGTTTAACACATAACCTACACTATTATTATTCACCTTTATACGGAAAAATATTTTATACATTTTTAATAGTTTTTCCTTTAATCGATTATAAAATCATAAGGCGAATGAAGTCCTGCAGTATTAATAGATATGTTCAGTTTTAATAGATGATAAACGTCAGGCTCTACTTGTGCAAACATATTGTATAACACTTATGTATTATAATTTTGAAAATATATTTATTTAAGTCGACCGTTAATTATTGTTTATCTTTTTTAGTTAAATACTATTAAAAAATTTTAAATTTATATTATAAATAGTGAATTTACATAGATTTTAAATAACGACCGTCGACCAACAATAATAAATTATTGTTCTTATACATATTATTCCCATGTGCAGTATAGTAATAGTAATGATAATACACTAATACATCAACACTTCTTTACCTATACCAGTCATATTTAATTTACAGACGTTTCAGATAATAAACTGTATTGCTTTTTTCTAATCTAGAAGTATTTCAAATAGTCGGCTGGTAGTACTATTACTAATACTATTTCTTTTCCCATCGATCGCAAGTCATTATTGTAAACAAATTAGACACCCGAGTCTAAAAGTTTGACCGGTATACATCTATACGTGAACAGTTGAGTGTTCACTGGATGTCTAATTAATTAGACGACTATATATTTTCGTTCACCCCGTTGTATAAATCATTACTCTCCCGTCCCCGATCGCGTTTATTACAAAATATACTCATTCCACTGCGCAATGGCTTTTTCTCGTGCGAGTACCTACATACCAATTCGACATCCAATTCCTTAACTCAATAATAATAATAATAATAATAATGATGATGATGATAATAAGTTATTGGAAAATGCATTTATAACATGATAAGTACTCGTATTTATTTTAGTGTGTGATCATTTTTTGCGAAAAATAATTATCATCCAACTACAACAGATCGTCCATTTAACATCCTATTATTGACAGTAGACATAAAGTATTATAATATTATATGATATCGTTTTAAAGAAGTAGGAACATAATTTTCTCAGTAATTCTATTTATTATTATTAATTAGTGTGATTATTTTAATTCGCATGTGGTATTCCACAGTAGAAACCATTATAATACAACACAATATACCTATCTTAAATAAAATAATAATATAAAGAAGAAAACGTTCACACAGCCTACTCTACGAAAAAAAAACCTCCCGGAAATAGAAATACATTAGGTACGCCGAAACGAATGACAATGGTGCGCGAGGGGTGAAAACATATTATTATGATGATGCGCGTTTATCATTTAATATAATGTAGTGTTACTCATTAACAGGCAACAGCGTGTACATAGGTAGTGTGTGTAGTTTGAGAACCGGTCAGGACACGACCCTATATATATATATATATATATATATTATGAACAATTGAATACGTCTCGTAACACGGTAGCTCTCCAATCTACGGGGTTAAATGTGTTGTCTGTGTGTGTATTCGTGTATAGACGTTTAAGGATCGTTTAAAGTTTGTAAATCAATAGAGTCTGAAGAAAATTGACGGACATTGGTTAAATGAAGAACACGGACCGATATCTTAACGAATAGTGTAGAAACGGTAAGCGTCACTGGGTGATGTAAGATGTTTATTATTATTATTATTATTATTGTGCTGTTATGTATTATTGCTATTGTAAAGTATAGATACCTATTTTCCAAAAAAAAGCAACAACTTTTACTGTTTTWGTATAGGTACCTTACCTACAAGTAAAAAAAAAAACCAACATAGTAATATGTTTTAATTGTTATTGTCGTGCATACGAAATTATGCGTTTTGTAAATTGTGTGTTATATATGTAAATATATTTCAAATACGAAATATGTAGGTACGTACAATAATATATAATGATAATGGAATTAACTGAATAAAATAATGTGTCGTATAGATATAACTAGTAATTACTATAAGGTGTGTTTTCGGGAACAAATTGACTGCGACGTGTTTTTAAGGTTATTAACATTAGAGGTAACCAAATCATAGAATATTTTAAAAGCTCTTAATTTAAACATGTTTACGAGTTACGATGATAATTTGAATAAAACACACTCGTTGATTTCACCGATGTATGACGAAATGTGTTTAGTGCTTTAGTATATATTTTTAATTTACAATACTATAATATAATATAGGCATTAACGAGCTAACGACATATTTCCCAATTAACATGAAACAACGACATAGGTAATACATACAAGCCACGAGCCACGGCACATTAACTCAATAATCGGTTTTATGTGTATAATATTATAATATATATAATTCAATAGGTACATATAAATATATAATATGCATTTATAATATACATATAATAAGTAATAAGTATAATATAATATTATTTGATGTTATGTATTATTAAATAAGTAGATACATAATAGGGTATAATTTATACTTTATAAAATAAAATAATTTCTCGGTTTGATTCGGTTAGCCGTTAGGTAATCCATTATACAATATTAGGTTAGAAATCTAAGTCAGGATTCAGAGAGGTATAGTTGTATGTCTATATTCTAACAGCGTGGAGAGGAAGCAATAGATATTTTTGTTTTGTTTTATTATTTATTACRAATAAAACATATTTTTTTGCTTATAGATGTATATTATATTATGATAATATTCATATCGAGATGACGTTATCGTRTTTAAATAAATATGATACATTTATATAATTGATAATTAATAGTACCATCAATATAATTTGCCAAATAATACATTTTTCGAAATTAAAACCACACTAGAAATGGAGGAAATAATACTAAAAACACAACAACAAACAAATTTTTAGGCAAAACTGTAAKAATTCGCACATGAATTTCTAGTTGAACGAGATTCTTATAGTATAGATGTATATAATAYTATAATATCTCCACGATATATCCTCATTGTTAGATGCCRATGCCGGATGTGGTTCATYGCATACACCRATTACGTCACAATATTATAATATAACGAACACATCTGTGTCGTCATCAAAAGCAGGGTTAACAATTGACACTCCACGAATGTCATATTATAATACCATAATATATTATGATATATGTTTTCGCTGTATAATAATATTCTATATACGATGTGATGTGTCATGTACTCATGTAGTCATGTGTATGTGTATATACCCTAGAAGATAGGTACAACTTTTCGATGGGCGTTTAAATCCCTCAATTTAGACTTTATTTTTATTGGATTTTAAAAATTAAATAATATGCTTGTATTATTGTGAATTATAATACAGCAAGGTAGGTATGCGATTKTTATGTGACAAATATGATATGTATATGTGTAATATATTTTAAAATATCGATTTTTGTTTGTTAACTTTAGAAGGAAACAATTATTAAACCAGTTATTTTTAAGGAATAGTAAGTCTATCATATAAGACCTACAGATAAAATAACGATAATAGGGGCGAATCATTTGACGCGTATGGCCTTTGGAGAGAGGGTGTCAGGGTGATAAGTGAGTAGGACGATGGTGGCCTATACCGTCTGCAGTGGTGTGCTACTGCAGCTGTCTYCGAATCTCACCGTTTTCCAGCTCTGTTTGCTGCGTATATTAAAAATGTGAGGTGCCTGTAGCATCACTGCTCACATAGGGAACTTTTCACACTTCCGGTTTTTACGACTTATTTACGCGTGGAATCGGACTACTGCRCTGGTCTTCCCATATCGCATATATAAAATTTCCCTCTCTCCCCATGTCTGCAAAACACAATATATTTACGCATTCGATTTGCACCAGACACGACTCACTCAATTATCAGGTAGGTATATAATATATTCTATTGCTCGTATATTATATTATATGAACGACGGCGGTGGACAATAATTAAAACTCGCCCCCGCTGTACAGTACAATAACATACGTATTATACACATCGTGGGGTCACGACTTTCAACCATATTATAATTATTGTCTCGGACACGTAAAAGCAAAACGATCGATGGGTGGCGGCGGGAGGGGCATTTGTGGGACGGGGTGGGGGTGGTTGGTTAGTGGCGGAGAGACGCGGACGCGGAAAGAGGTCACCGCGCGCTCGATCCCCGCGGTGCCGACGAAACGCGCGTACACTATAATATAATAACACCGATCGTATGTACAACACTTATATTATTATTAAACACACACGTGTGTGGCGTGTTGACACGCGATACGAATTAACAACAATGATATTATAAACACACAGACACACGCGTTTAATAATACGTATATGCACAAGGTACAATATAATATTATACTCCCGTTCGCCGARTGATCCTGTCGAATCTTCATATTATTATTGCATAATATTACCATCACCGCGCGCAGCATCTGACCGGTCTACAGTGTCGTGAACGCCGGACCACGTGCTGCGCACAACGCGGATTTCGTCTAAAGTTTAGCCACAGACGGCTCAAAATGTATGATCATATTATTATTGTTATTATTATTATTATTATTATTATTATTA